GTAGTTGACCTCGTGCAATACAGACCTGCATGACTGACTATTAACGGCAGATATTTCTCTTATGCTTCACAATCTTCATCCAAGTCGCTGTACACTATGGCCTAGGCCAAAGTTTCTGGTCCCTCAGCATTGCGACCTCCTCCGACGCCATTTTCTGGACATACGTGGCGAACAGCTTCGCCATTACCGGCAATGCGATGGCGAAGTTATCGATGGGAATGTTCTTGCTACGGGTCGTCCAGGTCAGATGGCATAAGATCGCGCTGTGGGTGCTTGTTTTTGTGACGTGCGCGACAAGCGGTGCTCTCACCATCATGCTCTGGAATCAGACAACACCTATCAAAGCTAGCTGGGACCCGCTAAGGACGCCTGGGAGGTGGAATATCCAGATACAGCCAATGAGTGTTGGTCTTGGAGGTACTGTGCTCTTGAGTCAGTCGGAATGCTCGGGTTTCTAGCTGACACGAACGTTAGTCTGGTCTAGCATCTGCGATTTCTTCTTCGCCATATTTCCTTGGTTGTTCATCTGGTCGCTCCGGATGTCGCAAAAGGAGAAGATTATGCTAGCCGGCGGGATGAGTCTCGGTGTTATGTACGTCGATCGGAGAAACCCCCCGGTGACTTCGAGGAACCTAGACTGACTTGCCCTCCAGTGCTGGTGCTTGTGGTATTGTAAGGACGGTTGTCCTTGCGCGACTGGACGTCTTCAACTATACCTGTAGGTACTGTTTATAATGTCAGCTTCAAGACCGTTGGTCTGATTTGAGTCTAGTGAACTTCGTTCCATACTTTGCTTGGGCAGGCGCCGAGATAGCCGTAGCCATGGCCTGCATCGGAATCCCAACCCTCCGGCCACTATACCTAAAGACGCGAGGGATGAGTAGCGCCTACGGACGACGAGGGCAGAGTCAACCGAGCGAGTTGCCGCAATTTACCATGATCGAGAAGAAGACCAGACCATCGACTGCACCCGCCGGGGCTTCGCTACATTCGAGGACAGACTCGGGCCCGATCAAACCGGCAAGTGTGTACACAAGAGTGTCCAGCAGAGACAGTAGAGAAGACATTCCCGATGCAGAGCGAGGAGGTACCGGGGTAATCTGGGTTAAGAATGAGATACAGGTTCAGCGGGGTCATGCAGACTGGCCACTGAGAGATTGATGTGGTGTCTGGACATTCATACAAAAGATTTGATTCATCGACGCAAGTCACCATAGCGAAGTATACCCCGGCTTATTGATCACTTAGCAATAATCATTAATAATATGGTCGAGAGCTTCTTGGCCAAGTAGGCATAAAGTAGTTATCTCTTGACATCCGGCTCCCGGGGGGTATGCCATAGCCCGCTCCCCAACGTGCTCTCAGGAGACGACACTATTGCAGTTGCGCAGCCAGAGCAGTGACCTGGTCCAGTAAGGCCTGGTCCTCGCCAGCCGCGTTTGTCGTGACCTTGTCTCTCAGGTGATCCACCTGCGATGCAGCTGCTGTCGGCGCATTGCCTTGCGCCGTCTGAATACGACTGACCTGCATTTCGAGGAAGAACTTCGGGACTTTGATGGCTAGGCTACCACCCACACTCCGGATACCAGCCTCGGTTGCCAGATAAACGTTAAGGCTGTCTTGGAATGTCTGAAGGTCCGTGTCGGCAAGAGGGGTCGCTGTTGCGAACTTCGAAAGCGCAAACTCGAGGGGAGTCTGGCTTGACTGGCTGAAGTCGATGGAGGAGAATGAGACAGCCCCGCTGGTGACATCGGGAACACCCGATATCGTCTGTACTGAGGTATCGCAGGTGATTGAGGACCCAAGACTTGTGACTACATCGGCGACGTCAGCTGGGAGTGCCGTCTGACCAATGACAAAGCATCCCGCCTGGCGCGCTGATAGACTTCGGCCAGCGGCAGGTGACTTAGTAAGACTGATTACAGTATCTGGAGTGACGAATGGAATAGCCGGCGCCGCCGCCACCAGGCCAGCCAAAATAGCCGTGCCGAAAGTGATGGTGTACATTTTTCGGTATGATGGATAGTGTTCAGAAGCGGGATACCGGTAGGAGTAGCAACCAAAAGAGGGTGAATGGGGGATAAAGGAGGAATCCTAAACGAAAGAAACCCCTGACCAGAGAGGAATGAAGATCACGAACCACTGATGCTGGAGAGCTGCCGCTGTACGAGAACAGACGCTGTAGCCCGAGACGGGAGGCGGCGATCTTTTAATGGCAGCAGTCGTCAATGCAGAGGGCATGCAGTCAACTCACGATCTGGGGTTAAACCCCTACCCAGAGAGCATTCGTCTCATGTCTGAGTGATACGGTTTGAGATGCAACCAGGCTTCTGGGATCGGGGTACCGAACTCCAGCTGGAGTCAAAGCGCTCAATCTAACGCCGCGATGCACTTTATGCTAGCCTCTGGGAGAGCAGACGCTCAGGAGCAACATCCCAACATTAACCTCGATGAACCACGCCATTTCTCGCTGCATTACGCAGGGACCTGCAGCAGGTCGTAAGAGCTTGCCTAGAAGATGATGAGATGTGAAGAGCCTCAATTTGTGGTCCTTCATCGCAGCCTGTGACGAGTCGGGGGATGATCTCCGCAATTTTGGGTTTCAAGGTGCAACTGTCCAATTAAAGGGTCAGCGCATGGCTAGGGGGTGTCTTCGCAGTCCCACTGCTCGGTCTGGGTTCTGAGGTTATTTACGACTTTATTTCTTGGCAAAGGTGCGTTGAAGTTGACCTCGGCCGAGGTGAAACTTCATGTCACTTTGAGCACATATTCATTTACTTGGGCTGATTCTATCATTCACTTGCAAGGAAGTTTAGGCGATGGTTTGGCACAACAGGAAGACAATAGTTCTTTGAGGGTCATTGTCCGATTACTCATTGGGCGTCGCTGCAAATCCTGACCCGTAACTCATCAGATTGCAGTACTCTTGTCTCGCCTTAGAGACCACCCTACCCCAACATACTATCACTCAGGGATGGGGACAGCAGTATAGGCAAGTAAGATTGACCTTGCCTATTCCTTTCGCAGTAGCGCCGATCACGTCTTCGTTCTTCGGCCGATATACCGATGCCTGGAGAAATCGCGATTACATGCGGCTGCTTGCCGACGAATGTTATGGGGAGCCAAGACCGTGTCTTTACCTGGCATTATCAGATGACAAACTGGACAATCAAGAAACACGGATATCAATCGTCATTGAAATACTTCTTCGAAGGCAGTCGTTGTTGAATGCCGCCTACACACTACGGGGACTTAACCTCAGCCACGTCGTGCCATTAGATGCATAGCCTAGACCTGATTAACTGCAAACGGATCCTTAGTACCAACTTCGGGGCGGCTCTCAAAGTTAAACAGGCAAGACCTTTGTAAGTTAAAAACCCAACAAAGAGGTGCTATACAGCAAGCACCTGGAATACAATAAGGTTTCCTGCAAATATCCCAGTAAAAAGGTAGTGTATGTCTAAACCTTGGCAAGACAAGTACGATTCTCAAGACCGCTGTGACAGACATCTTTATAGTTTGAATTATGCCATTAGCGAAAGCTCGACCTCGAGAGACGTAAGGATCAAGGTAGACCATAGTAGCATCAAGAAGCGCAAGAGGATTAAGGATTCAAATCCCAAGGCTGAGAAAAGTACCGCATAACTCAGAACGCTACTCCCCAGCCGAAGCCCGTGAAGCGCTTGCCTGTCTAAGCAGAATCGTGGCACACCTGGGTAGGTCACTAAAATGAGATTCCACCATGATACTAATTTGACCAGTTTTAGGAGAATGTACTGATTACCGCTCCAGGTATTCGTGATTTGATATTGAAATGGGTCCATGGATGCCGCATATTCAAGTGATAGATGGTACTTGTGATATCCTGCATTGTTTGACATTTATACCCAAATAAGATCTCTAACTGAGCATGCCCTCTTAGAAGTATGATATGCCATACCGCTTGTGTCATGCAGATCTGGGCGATCCTGGCATACGAATCTGCTACTCTCTTTTCGACAGGTGGTCGGTCCACATGTCCTACCTAGAGACAACCGGAATGAGCAAGGTTTGTACTGACCCGAGAGGATGTATGTAGTATTTCGTTAGCCAGTCAAATTCCGCCTTTGCATCTTTGTGGCCCTTCTGAACAAGATCTGGCCTGCTAAGGACAGAACATGAGATCACGGCTGTGTGATGGCCCAAATATGATGCTGGGTCTTGATCTATCTAGTCAAGGTATAAGAGGGTAAATGCGCACAATTTAGGAATACAAATGTCATGTCTAGCTGTTCAGCTAAAGCCTACTGGAATGGATACCAGGTCTCGTTCTCCCACAGTACATATATAAGGCAATAAATAGAAACGATCAATGATCGTAACCGTCTTTAAGCAACTGCTCTATCGACACACTGCATAAGAAAAATACTACACTTTACCCGACCTCCCTCCCCAGCTAGAAACTAGACTTGAATCATGCGCTCGGAAGGCTCCGGGTCAGTGACGTTCTATATATCCATGTCTGGTACGCGAAGGAGGAGCCGCGCTACTTGTAGTGTTCGATGGGACCATGTGGACTGATGGAAAAATCCTGGGTGGAGGGAGGATTCGTGGCGCAGATACTTGAGGGACTGGCAGTGCCGAGTCAAGCTTCTTAGCCTCTTGAAGCCATGTAGATTGCGAGTTGCATCGAAGACTATGTGTCGGAATGCCTTGTTATAACGATTCATATAAAGCTGAAACACGTCGTGCCGATGCATCCACAGGTATAATCACTATCTTTCCGACTCATCCTTGATACGTTGACTCAATTGTGAAGGAGACCACTATGTGGACGAAGAACACGATTTCTTGTATTAGTGCTTTACTTCAGTTTGATAGATCTGGATTCAAGGCTTTTTTGCTTTCGGAAGTCTCCGGAATACAGTACAGCTTGAAAATATTGCCCAAGTGGGGTAAATAGTAGTCTATGGTATTGCGTCGAATATCTATATATAAGCGACGAATCTCCGCAGCAACTCGGGCACTTGGTCTAGGGGTAGTACGTTACCATGTCCACATACCAAATATTGGTCTACAATGCTAACAGCACCAAAGTGATTCTCGCTTCGCATCTCTTGATGACATGATTGTGAGCGGTCATGGGTTCAATTCCCATAGTGTCCATTACTTTTGCCAATTGTAAGGTATTCTTTTCATTTTCAGAGACAAGATGAAATTCTTTTTGTTCTCGTTGGAACGGTATGAGTTGGAAATGCGGATCATGGTTGTCTTTGGCTAGCAAGGTTGTCTCGCAGGCTAAGCACCTGACTTTTGTAAACTACTTAAATACCTACTTACCTATACTAGTGTCAGCGCCATTAAAATCAAAGAAAAGATCTAGGGTCGATGGATGCTGAACTTCTAGACATGCAAAATACCCGACTCAAATCTTTTCTTTACAGCATTAGAATATGTCGATGAGCTACTTTTGCTGGGCGTTGTAATTCTGTCGGCTGAGTGGTAATACTTGCTGTAAATGTCTATTCCCAACTGCTTCCGTTTTCGGCACGTCAATCGGAGCCGTCCACAATTCTTGATATCTGATATAGCATGTTTACAACTCCTTGACCTTGCCCTCTCTCCTCACACTCTTACTGAGCCTCAATGCAAAGACATACGCAAGCATGGCGGCCTCCAATCCCAAAAGTCCAATCCAGAGCGCATCCAGCACATGCACCTCCAAGCCTCCGAGCCAAGGCTTGCCCTCCAGATTCCACCGCAGCGGCCCGTAAGCTACCTGCATGAAGAGGAAGGCTACGAATGTGTAGAATGTGTACCAATATGGTCTATGGGTGGTGGAGTGTTAGTTTGCTTCAGTCGGTGGGTGCGATGCTGACAGAAAGGAAGCCCGTCCTTGTTTGCTCCAGTGTGATTGCGAGAAATACACATACTTTGTTTCACTAGTAGTAACTGTCCATCTCGGTCTCGGCTCAGCCCACGACTGCGAGATCTGCACCACGATAACAAAGGCAGACGCGACAAAGGCCCAGATCAGGAGCATGCGCTGCAGGAGAGACAGGTCTTGCTGCGGGAAGTATGTTTCCAACATGTTTCCTCCGTTCTTTCTCGTCTACTTCTATACTTGTATGCCTCCTCAAGATGAGGATAAATTTGGAAAGCGACACGTTGTTCTCTTTGCGCTGTGCGTGGCTGCGGTACCCGTGGGGCTTGGTTGTGTTACAATGAGCAGCGGGAGGATGGTGGGGATTTGCCTATGTCGTCAGATGATACTGGGGAAAGCGTGTTCGTCTGGCAGATCTGGAGGTGGCTATGCAGGTGCAATATGCCGCAGTCGATTGCGATGAATTGGGAGGGAAGACATCGGGACACGTTGAGCTTTTCAACTCTGCAAGTGTCAGAAATCCGAAATTCCGTCGTTTCCTTTCATTTTACCCGGTTCAAGGGTCTTCAATCTCCCAGGAGCTCCCCCGCATGCAACGCTTCCCCCAAGTCGTGGAAAAATACAGGGGGTGGTATTGAGGCGTTTGGGTTGGGGGCCAGATCTCTCTTGGACGACGAGGGTGGCATCTCCGCTGGGTGTCGAGAGAGATCGCGTGTTGAAGCTCATGATATAGCTGTATTACTAGTCGTTGCGTGAAAAGGGGCGATGCTGAAGCTAGAGTGTATAATACAGAATGACCGCATCCATCGTGAACCATCAAGCCGTGATCTTCTCCCCCACTCCCCGTATCCCAGGGCTATAAACAAGGCGTAATTATACGTACAGCTCTCCAGTGATCCCAAACTCCAAGCTCCCCGATGATGCGACAAAAGACTCTATCTAGCCTTGGGGGAACTCATGCCGCCCTTGCCGGCCTCGCGGCTATCAACTTCTCCTGTTCGCGGATGTCTCCACCAGAAGCTTTCCACCAAACATCGCATCCCCATCTCATTGCTCGTTCGACGGCGACAGTGGGTGTTACGGCAGGCCTGACGTCGAGGTAGAAGACAGGCTCGCCGGTTTCCTCAGGTGGACCGGAGTAGTAGTCGATAACGTAGCGGACCTCGTTTTTCTGGCCGTTGATATCGCGCGAAACAAACCAATCGTGGCGATCGAAGGGCGGTTCGGTGCTATAGCGGTCTGTTAGCCCTTAGGTTCTTAGTTTTCATAATTTCGTTATCGACGTACGCAAACATGGCCGGGTATATCCACCCCATGATCTGGATCATGGCTGCCTTGGGTGTTATGTCCTTTGGTCTCCCCTGAAATCTCACCAAACTGGGCGCCAACTCCTCAACCTCCTTTTCGTATCCGTATCTTTCGGCCATTCTGTCAAAGTTCTGCTCGCCGCGAGAACACAATTGCCAGCCTCGGCGCAAACCACCGGCAAATCGCTTCTCGTGCTCCATAATCTCTGCCCAAGCCCCTTCGTTTAGGAAGTTGTGTACGCTGACCATACTCTCTACTGCCGTGACATCTGTATCCGTGTAGCCTTTCCGTAGCAGCGCATTATACATTTGCTGTGGCGAGGGATACTCCCAGTTACCGGCACCATCACTTTTGGGTATCGTTGAGTGCTCCCGATCGGTTGGGAGATGGTGGGTCTGGGAGGGAGCCGGGGCTTGAGATAAGTCGCGGAACATGTAGTTTAGGGGGTTGAGCTTGGAGAATGTTGATTGCGACTCGGACGCCGATGCTGCTGCTCCTCTTGCTTTATGGGGTACCGGACATGATGAGGGAGGCGCTGAAGATTTGTCGTGTTTAACGGGACAGGCAGACGAAGGAACAGTCATCGCTTCGGTACTCCTCTTGTGCATTGGGCATGCTGGCTACGGGTTTGTTAGATACCTATCCAGAACTGGCAGAACCACAAGCAGCTTACAGGCGGTGATCTATCATCGCCTGCCGTAAAGGCATGATGCGCAATAGGCTTGGGCTCGATTTTGCTGATTGAACCTTCTGCCCAGAACCAGCCCATGGTGACTCGAAAGTGCGGGTATCAAGAAGGCTTGGTGATGTCTTGTCTTCGCGTGATGCCAGTGAGTAAATGAGATTTATATCATGTCTGATAAGGCCCGTCAACTTTTTGCCATCAGCTCATTAGTTGCCTTGCACCGGCCAAAGTCGGAACTCGAAATCGCCGTCGAACTAATCGGGTCCGTGCTGTCCCACCGCGCGCAGTGATGATGTACAGTACGTCACTGTTCGCGATTGATCTGTTAGCGCTTGGGGACCATGAGTGCCCTGAACGAACTGACGAGGGCTGTAATTTGCGGCTTTGTCGCAATTGACCATTTTTTGCTACCTACCCTGGGGCTCAGGTTTTGACTTGCGAAAATGCGCACTCACTCTTCCAGGTGATATCCTGACATTTTGAGACGAGATGGGATCCGTCTTCCTTCTTGGCCGGTTGTGCGCTCGCCGAGCTTTCTCGCAAGCCCCGAAGGTACCCAGGTCCGGCTGCCTACGATGGCAATCGACCTTCAGATATAGCGGTTCGTCATGGGGAAAACCGCGGAATACGAGGACCGTCTTGATTGCGACAGCTAATGGTGCTGCCCTTGGCACAGCAGCCTTTGTCAAGCTGTCCGAGAAAGACAATGACGACACCGAACAGACCTCGGAGGGACGGATGCTCAAGGCATCGAGGCAGGAGATAGAGAAGAGAAAGGACGAGACAAGCCATGGACTCACCAAGTTCAGACACAACGTTGTGTATTATCTCGATGCATACCTATGGGAGCCGCTTTGCACAGGCGTCCGCTTCTTACACCTGGTTGTCATCTTCGTCCCCGTCATCATAACAGTGCCCGCCATATGGCTTGGAAGTCAGCAACCGGATCGGGACAATGAGAGGAGTGGCACACTGTGGTGGTATGGGTTTCTGGTTCAAGCCATGGAATGGGCAGGCCCAGCATTCATCAAGGTAGATCCTTACTCCATCTATCCCAGCAGCAGCAGCACCAGCAGCAGCACCGTGGCTTACATGAGTCTTGATAGCTCGGGCAATGGGCTGCGTCGCGAACCGATATCTTCCCTACCGAAATGTGCGATATCATGTCCAAGCTGCACTCCCATGCGCCCGCACATTCCATGCATGCCACTAGGAAAACCGTAGAGGCAGCCTTCGACGGACGACGTTTCCATGAGATATTTGAGGAGTTTGACGAAAACCCTTTGGGCGTCGGCGCCATAGCTCAAGTTTACAAGGCAAAGCTCAAGTCCGACCTCGCTGCGCCCGCCGATACGGACGTCCTGGACTCAAAAGGAAATATTGGACGGAACATGCGAAGAAACGTCGACCCCCTACTCAAGAGTACGCCAAAGCGTGTACCATCATCATACGTTGCGATCAAGGTCCTACATCCACGCGTTGAAAGGACAGTGCGACGCGATCTCCGCATCATGGGCTTCTTCGCTTCTGCCCTAAACCTGATACCAACCATTGAATGGCTCTCACTTCCTGACGAGGTTGATCAATTCGGAGAGATGATGAAGTTACAGCTTGATTTGCGTATTGAAGCTGCTAATCTTGCCAAATTTAGGAAGAACTTCAAGGACAGAACAACGGCATGGTTTCCGTTCCCCTATCTAGAGTTCACCACTCGCAATGTTCTGATTGAAGAATTTGCCCAAGGTATTCCACTAGCAGACTTTATGGAAAACGGCGGTGGTGTCTTCCAGAAGGATATTGCACAAGAAGGTCTTGATGCCTTTTTACGCATGCTGCTATTAGACAACTTTGTCCATGCCGACTTGCATCCGGGAAACATCATGGTTCGCTTTTACCAAGCCAAGAAACCCAGCATACCAGGACTCCGCCGGCCGGGTAGCGACACGCACAAACCTCACCCGGAAGAGCAAGCAGACGTGACGGAACAAGTTCTCGCGCGCCTTCGACCTTACCGCAAGAAGAAGGACACTGAAGCCTGGAAAGCCGAGCTGAAGAAGATCGATGCGGAAGGCTACCGCCCGCAGTTGATCTTTATAGACACCGGTCTCGTCACCGAACTCAACGCCACAAACCGCCGGAACTTCCTGGATCTCTTCCGCGCCGTAGCTGAGTTCGACGGGTACAAGGCAGGTCACCTGATGTGCGAACGCTGCCGCCAACCCGACGCCGTTCTCGACAAGGAGGTGTTCGCACTGAAGATGCAGCACCTCGTCCTCAATGTCAAGAGCA